TATTATTATTATTATTATTATTATTATTATTATTATCTTTTATTCATTAAACATGAACCTCAGTCAACTGAACATTCAAATTGGCTGGCGCTGATGGTTGACACGGGTTGCTACCAGCATCCCAGGTGTCAACCAGGTATCTCATTAAAAAATAAGATGTTCCGAGTAGCACAGTTTTTTGTAACATAGCTGGAGTTATTGCAGGAAGCTGCAGTTTCTTGATGTATTTTGCAAAGTTTTTGGACATAGTTCCCAGTGCCCCGATGACAATGGGTACCCATTTATTTGGTTTTCCCTTAAACCAAGATTTTAAAAACGAGAATATTGCACAGATTAATAATGCATCACTTATATTACCAAATAGTACTCAAGACTTCTTCAAAAGTTATTTAAAATTACTTAATGACCCAAATCGCATGTAATCTAATTTTGATCTTGAAAAAAAAAACAATTTCTGGATTACAAAGAACCTTTGAATAGGACAATCTAGTCTTCCCTCTTTTTCAGTTCTTTTTTTACTTTGCAAAAAAGAAAAAGCTTTCATTCAGATGCTTGGTTCATAAATTGCACTATAAACCATGGTTGATTTAACCATGATCTTTGAGAAAACTGGAAATAGCTGGGTTTGTATAATAAAATATGCCAAAATTAAACCACATCATGCCATTAATTAGTTAACTCTACAATTCAGAGCTAGGAATAATTACGGGGATATTCTAAAGCTAGGAATATTGACGATTTAATATTAAGATAACTTTATTACACATTCTTTAAAAAATCTTACATTTAATTCTAGTGTAAATGTTTAATTATGTGCTTATTTGCTTTTCTTTAATAGATTCCTCTCCTGGTATATTATTGAAGAATTAAAAATATTAAATCCTCAACCTTTGGAAGTACTGTGCATTTATATATGTTTACATGTAAACATACAATGCAGTTAGTTCTTTAAAGTAATGTCTACAATAGAATCTTGTTTTTAGATGTGAACACACATTCATGATGAACTGAATAATTACAATATCTCAGGTCTTTAGATAACTTGGCCATTAGAGGTGAGACTACTATTTAGCACTTTTTCAATTTGAGAGCTAATGGGTGTTAATTACAGATGGTTGTCTGGGTTATCTTAATCAGATGCATGATCAGTTGTTAATTGGTTTAGAACCTCAGTTCAACATTATTGGGAAAAACTGGAAAAATATTAAAGGCAAATGATATGTATCAGTGGGCTTATTATAATAGCCCAATATTGCATATCAAAACCTTTAATTCAAGATATTAGAGAATTTTGAATTTTTTCTGGATAGAAAGCTCTGAAAATAAATTGTCATATTAACTCCAGTTCTTGAATTTTAAGGCAGCATTAGCACCCGAATCTTTTTACCTGTATTTTTTTTTTAAATTAAAATCTGTAAACCGTAACAGGTTTTTTTCCCCCCTCCTTTGGTATCTCAAATGGGCTTCAGTGACCTTCCCAAAAAAGCTCCTCTGAAAGTCAAAATAAGAATCTGATCACTGTTGCCTGGTCATAAATAGCTTCTAAGAACTTTTAGTCTAGACCAGGGGTAGGCAACCTTGGCTCTTTTATGACTCGTGGACTTCAATTCCCAGAATTCCTGAGCCAGCTGGCTCAGGAATTCTGGGAATTGAAGTCCACGAGTCATAAAAGAGCCAAGGTTGCCTATCCCTGGTCTAGAACTTGGTTGATAGGACTGAATTTTACAGCATGAGTGATTTCATCAAAATAAAATCATTCATTTGCATTTAAATTTTTGTATAGACATAATTTTGTATAGAAATAATTGGAATTAGCTTCCAATTCTCCCTTTCCAGTATTATAAGAAAATAAAGTTTAGGCATCCTCCTCCTCCTCCTTTTTTTTTTTTGGCTAATGTTGCTTCATCCCCTTTCAAGAAAAGGGAGAGAACAGCTGTCTGCATTGTTGTTCTAAAAGAGCCCTTACATTTATCTGATCAAAGGACAGATTTTTTTTTTTTTAAAAAAATGAACTTACTTAAAAAAAACTGTTAGCGAATGGGTAAGATTTGGAATTCTAGTACTGACAAAGCTTCTTTCTCACAAGCAGGCAAATATCTAATATTAATCAGTATCTGATATATCTTTATAGTAGCTCATAAAATAATACAGAAGAGGGATGTTCTAATTGTTGGCAGCTTTTAAAAATATATTGTGCTTTCTCTAATAGCTTTTATTATTGAGAAAAATGTTTTTAAAATCTAGCAATCTTTAGGAATAGAATTTTGTTTTTGCATACTGCTGAAGTCAGCAAGTGTTTTTAATGCTGAGAACTTCAGTCAAGCAAGGCATTTATTGTATTTTGTAAGTCCTTGAACCGTTAGTAAATTGCACTTGAAAGTAAGTTATTAGTCAAAGTCATGACGTACCTCACTCTGTAGGAGATGTAGCATGCAATTGTCATGGAAATATTACAAAATACAAGTTAAGATTATATATTCATTGCTGTAAAAAGAGTCTATTTACTGAATTTGCCATAGGTCAGTGATGGCGAACCTATGGCACGCGTGCCAGAGGCAGCACTCAGAGCCCTCTTTGTGGGCACACGTGCCATTGCCTCAGCAGAGTTCGCCAGAGTAGCAAGCACATGGCATTTGGAAGCAACAGGGCACGAAGTGAGCGAGCAAGTGGTGTTGTCCCCCCGGGGATGCCCCGGAGATGGTGAGGGACTGGCCCCCGCGGCCTTGGCCCTGGCCACACTCACCCAGTCTGCTGTGACCACTGCAGCCATGCCCACCCAGTGGGCCACGCCGAGGGCACCATACTGCTGATGCAGCCCTGGCACTTTGTGATAAATACGTGGGTTTGGGGTTGCAATTTGGGCACTCAGTCTCTAAAAGGTTCGCCATCACTGCCATAGGTCTTTGGTAACCGGGTAGAAATAGGGACATGGATATTCTTGTGGCATCTTATTCTTATGGCTGCCATCACTTAAGTATCTTGTTCAAAATCCATTAAAAGTTCTAGATGAGAAAGAAATCTAGCACAACAGCTTTTTAAGTTTTATTTATTTTATTTATTTTTATACCACTTTTATTATTTTTATAAATAACTCGAGGTGGTGAACAAACTTAATACTCTGTTCTTCTCCTATTTTTCCACAAAAACACACCTGTGAGGGGAGCTGAAAGAAAGTGACCACCAGACGTCACCCAGCCAGCTTTCATGCTTAAGTTGGGACTAGAACTCACCATCTCCGGGTGATTGGCTCAAAGTCACCTAGCTGACTTTCCAGCCTACAGTGGGACTAGAATTCAGAGGCTCCTGGTTTATAGCCTGGCGCCCTAACTACTAGACCAAACTGGCTCTCAGTAATACCACTTGGCCTTGTAAACATTGGTTAAAAAATAGAAATAATGGTTATTTTCTTTTTCCCTTTTTTAAGTGGGCATTCTGTGACTGGATATTTCATAGTGTGCTAAACCCAGCAGATTTCTCTTCTTATTTTAAATATTGATTTCAAATAAAAAGCAGATGGAAGGGTAGGAGACTTTCCCAGGCCACACTGAACAAAAGAAAATACTTCTAAATATCTGTTCGAGGTTTCTCTGGAAATGTAGTATAGCTGCTATAATGCAACATTTCCTCTTTGGCAACATTTTAAAATACTGTGTAGTCCAGATTCTAGGTGCATCTACATGAAATTTTCCTTTACAGGTTGTCCAAAATTAGCTGAAAAATGGGACACATGGGCTATCTCCTTGATTTTCCTCCATTTGTGAGGTTTTCAGATATTGTCTGAAACGTTGATGCAGTCCTAAACTAATACTGTATTTATATAAGTATTTCTAATTTAGATGTGAATTCAGCTGTTTATCATCACTTTGTAATGGAAATATTACATTCTATTGTTGTGATTGTTTTACCAATATAGCTGTGCATGTAGTCCTCAATTTGCAGCCATAATGGAGTCTGCCCATTATAGTTATAAGTTGTAACAGTCATAAAGTGGGTCACCTATGTGACCAATTTGATTTTGTGGTGGTCACAGTTCTAAAGTGAACCTTTATTCACTGTGGGCCATTTTTGTCGGAAACTTAAAATAAATGCTAGTTTTCAGCAAAAACCTTGTTTTCTTGAAGCCATCTAGACCAGTGGTTCTCAACCTGTGGGTCGGGACCTCATTTGGGGTCGAACGACCATTTCATGGGGGTCGCCAAACAATGCAATCCGCCATTTTTTCCCCTTTTCCTTAGCTGTGCTACTCCCTTTTATTCTATTGGCTTTTGAAAGCCAATAGAATAGACTCTCTTGAATAGAGTCTAATTCTATTGGCTTTCAAAAGCCAATAGGAATTGTCCAGGCTGTCTCTGCCCTGCTGAGCCCGCCAAAAGTCCCATTCTGCAAACGGTGCTGCACCAGTTGAGTAGTCCTCGACTTACGACCGGTTGAGTAGTCCTCGACTTACGACCGGTTGGGGGTCGCAGCATTAAAAAGGTTGAGAACCACTGATCTAGACAGTATTGTTTGTATTTTTGGAGGCTTCGCTAAGCCCACCCCCATGGTGGATACAAGAAATTCTGGAGTATCAGATTAGCGTAAGTATTCTTTTAGACCAGAGGTGGGGAACTATGACTCGTGGACTTCAACTCCCAGAATTTAAGTCATAAAAGGGCCATAATTCCCCAACCCTGCTTTAGACTCAACACTTTTAGTTATTTAGAGTTTCAAAAATTGGAGAATTGAGGGGAGACTTTTGAAAAGGTAGGGTGCAAAATCTGTTTGTGGGTTCTGTACAATTTTGTTAAGCTTGTGCAGAGTAATTATGATGGGGAACATTACCTATAAAGACAAATCATCCCTTGCAAAAACTGATTGGAGCTGCATGTGCATTTGAATGAGAAACTGATTATGATTTATTGAATATTATTTCAGTAGCTAAAAATGCTTCATGTTGGTTTTCCCTTTCAAATGTAATCGTTACAATCTAGACATTTAATTTTTTTGTTTCTTGATTACAGGGAGAAAAAAATGAAAATTCAAGACATTAAAAATAATATTAAAGAAGCTATAGAGGTAAGTCTGCCAGCTGTTCCTTGTTTTGACTAAAATGCTTTAACTTGTAGCATTCTGGTTACATGCATGAAATCATTTTCTTCACAGACAATAGTAACAGCGATGGGAAACCTGGCACCACCAGTGGAACTAGCTAATGCAGAGAACCAGTTTCGAATTGATTATATATTAAACTTAGCAAATCAGATAGATTTTGACTTCCCACCAGTAAGTATACATTTTTATTGAAATGATGTTGGATTAATATTTAAGCTTTTGTCTTTTTATCCCTGTGGGTATTTTGAAAAATAGAAAGTAATTTGTTTTATTTTTCTGATGTTTTCAACATATATGTATTGATTGGTATCCAAGTATTGATCTATAAATGTGAATCTTCTAGAACCTGACTTTTGTTTCTTCTTTGGGCTTTTCTGCATGAACAAAACATTGGATGATGCAGATGTATAAAGTTTCCAGTGGATGTGTATGTTTTCCAAAGAAATTGAAGCATTCCAGTAATTGAAGCATATTGAGAGTAAAGTGATGAAAATGGAGGATGTATTTTAATGCTTACCATTAGTCTTTCTGTGACCCTTAGATAACTGTGTGTTTGTGTACATGCACAAGTATGTGAACAAGCCACCTGTGCAATACAAATTAGTTTCTAAAATGTTGCTCACAAGAAAAGCTCCAATCTTAGTGTCAGGCAAAATGTAGTTACCCATCAGTCAGGATTCTGTTACTATGGACTTTGAGTTGAACATGTAAGGTACATGTGGTTGAATGGTTAAATTTATATGGATCTTCTCAGCAAGGCTTTAGGTCCATGGGGCCATCCATCCCAAATGTTATCAGTATAATATAATTCAAATTAAAGACAGGTAAGCTGGAGCAGCAGAACTAAGATTGGTTCTCCAGCACTGGAGATGGAGAATCCACCAATGGGTTTAGACCGTATTCCTGCCCAATCAGATCAAGTCAGCCAAAGTTGCCACGCCTGTCCTGGACCATAGAGATCCCAGTCTTGGCTTGATCTTGCCCAGGACAGACGTGCAGATTTGGCTCTTAGGCAGGTACAGTCTCCATTGGTGGATTTTCTTTTCCCCAGTAGTTGTTAGGCTATAGTGGACTAATTGGATTAATCCCAATTCAAATTTTTCATTGCTATTACCAGATTCTCCAATCCTTTCCATTGGAAATTGGAGTTAACTCCTAATTCCCTCTAGTTGGGGGGAATATACGAGCTTTTGTTCAGGAAGGGGCTCCTTCCTCCCTTTCCCCCTCCCCCCCATCCAAAAAATTTTCTGCTCACTGGATTGATAGGGACTAACAGACGTTAGCCCCAGCCAGCTAAGGAGATCAATATCTCCAACAGAGCTTGCAGCTGCGGCTCCAGGGACCGGTTTCAGGCAAAAATACCTTCTGAGACCTTCCCTGCTCGTTCGGGATCTGTTGGAGCCTTGAGGTGGATTCAGGGCAGCAGAGTGATTTTGGGCTGTTTCCTCAGTCTATCTGACGAGCTTCAATATTTCGGCCGAAAACGGGGTGCGCGCACACGAGAGCAGCGTCGATCAGCTGTTCGGCGGCTGCTCGGTAAGTCTAAAACGGCCAGTTTTTTCTCTGCCTTCTCTCACGAAATGCACTCCTCCACAGAATCGAGTCTCGGGCAAGTCTTGCTTTTCGGAGTCGGCCCACGCACGGCCGCCATTTTAGGACTGCGCGGTTTAACACGCGGCCACCATTTGGGGACCGCATGGACTCAATAAGCCTAGCGAGTTCAGAATAAGGTGGAAGGGGATCCTTCCTGCTTTACACTGAGAGATATTTAAAGTGAGGGATCTCGCGGGGGGGGTAGTCCTCAAATCAAAGCTACAGATGGACTCACTACAGATTGGCAGGCTGCCATTGCTTAGTCGGCCGCCATTTTGGGTGCAGGGTCGAGGCCTGCTGTCAGAGAAGGGGCCTAGCCGCTTTCCTATATATTCTCTCTTCACCGACAATCACAGGTCTCCATTTCTATTTGTGATTTGACTGGATTGTTGTCATCCAGGCTTTCCCTGGGGTTTTCCCTTTTGTAGGCTCTGGTGTCTCCTGTTTTTCATACTGTCAACACTGAAACAATTGGCTTCATCCAGATTTCAGGCACCCCTTGTAGTGTGTCTGTCCTTATCCAGTTAACAACTACTTGGATTCCAGGCGCCCCAGTAGTGTGCCTGTCCTTATCCACAGTACTTCAGGCCGGATTCCAGACACCCCCAATAGTGTGTCTGTCCTTATCCGTGCACAGCCATTGTTGGATTCCAGACGTCCCCTATAGTACGTCTGTCCTTACCCAGTGTGTAATACTCTCCAGATACCAGGGGCCCCCTATCATGTTCCTGTGCTATCGGAGAATGGAAGAGTCTATTCTTTCCTCAAAGGGAGCCTTGCCATCCTCATCGGGTATACCTGGTCCGGAAGGCATTGAGAAGACAGCTGCCTCTAAGGTCAGATCTACCACAAAATCTTCCAAGAAAGCAATCAAACAGGCCAGCAGGAGACACCAAGCCTTAGAAAAGGAGTTCTTCAAGGCGCAGAAAAGAGCCAGGTTGGAAACACCTCAGACCGGAGGGTTAACCCTTGACTTACCCCTGGGGTTCCAACTTCCCCTCTGGGAATCTGGTCAACGGGGGAATCCTTACATTCCCCTGCGCAGTGCAGGGCAGGCGATTTTCCTTCTTTTTACCAATCTTCCACTACATGGGTGCCTCAGGGGGCTCCCGAGGCCACATTCACTCCTACTGCAGCAGGGCTCCGCCCTAGCGAGCCGGCCCCTTTCCCTATGGAGGACCGCCTAGCCCTACTGATTGCACAAGCAGTAGACTGAGCCCTTGATGCCAGGGCTCAGGCCTCTAGACCAGGGACTGCCATTCCCTGTACCGTCCAACAACCGGGGACTGAGACCTATTCTAACCCTTCCTCTCCATCTGGGTCATCAGTTTCTGAGGATTCTTACCTCAACCAGCCCACCACAGAGCAGGAGGTTCAAATGTCTGAAGAGGAAGAAATTCCTCCAGAGGCTTATCCATTCAGTGGCCTCTTTAACCCTTCTTTCTTTGTCACCTTGCTACGTAAGGCCACATCCACCACCCATCTTGGGCCAGGAACTTCATCAACGATGACACCCGTTCACCCAGACTCGGAGGCAGACCCGAATTTCGTTGAGCCGGTCGCGGCTCAACACCGCATCCCCTGCCCTTCTTTATTTCTGAATGCAATCCAGAAACAATGGGCCTCTCCGGCTTCTCTTCCCCTCCCAGGTAACACCGACAAAAGGCTGTACAATGTGGCCAAGGATCTGGAGGAGGTTCTGGAGGTACCGGCTGTGGACGAGCTCTTTAGGGCCCCTAATATCGGCCACCACCATCTCTGGGGATTTTTCAGAGGCCCTTAAGGCTGAGGACCGCAAGTGCGAGTCCACTTACCGCAGGACACACCAAGCGGCTGCATGGGCGATCAGGGCCGCAAACTCCGCCTCATTTTTCAATAGGGCCACACTCTGCTGGCTCCCGCAACTTCAAGCCCGGATTCCAGCGAAGGATATCCGCACACACCAGGACATTAGTAAGATGGTGGCGGCCACTGAGTATGCGTGAGTATGCGTGAGACGCAACCCTCCAGGCTGCTGGGTTTTGGTGCAGAACTATGGTGTCCAGTATCATTGGTCGCCGTATGCTTTGGTTGAAGCACTGGCAAGCCGATGCTAAGTCCAAGTGGAAGTTGGCAGCTGCTCCATATCAGGGAGGTAAGTTATTTGGGGACGCGCTAAATTTCTACTTAACTGAAAACAAGGACAAACGCAAGGTCCTCAATCATCTCCTCAAAAAATGGACAAACACCCCAGCTATTACCCAAGGAGGCAGTCCTTTCGTGCTGGAGCTAGATACAGTTACACTCAGCCCTTCCAGCCCTTTCAGGCCAGGCAAGACAGGCAGGAAAGACAGGCTGATAGGCAAGCTTCTAGACCCAGACAACAATCGCAGGGCAAGCGGCCCTTTCGAGGGAACAGCAGGCCATTCTGTCGCTCCAGTTGACTCCCCATCAGTACCTCCCATAGGGGGCAGACTATCTCTCTTTGCCCACCAGTGGGAGGCCATCACCATGGACGTGTGGGTGCTCAACACCGTCCATCACGGTCTTTCCCTGGACTTTGTATCCAACCCCCCAAATCGGTTCCTCTCCTGCCCTTATCCCCGAAACCGAACAAAGAAAAGACTAATGAACGAAGCCGTTCAACATTATTACACATACGGGCCATAGAACAGGTTCCACTGGACCAGGGAGGTCAGGGATTTTACTCCATCCTCTTCGTTGTTCCCAAGGCATCAGGGGGATGGAGAGCCATCTTAGATCTCAAGGGCTTGAATTTCCATCTTGCATACCGCAAATTCAAGATGCAAATGCTCCGCTCCATTTTGGGAAGTGTAAGAAAAGGGGACCTCCTGATGTCTATCGACCTCATGGAGGCTTACCTTCATATCTCTATATCTCTGGCCCACCGACGGTTTCTACGGTTGACATACAAGGGATGCCACTTCCAGTACAGAGCTCTCCCATTTGGCCTATCATTGGCTCCCAGGGTGTTTACCAAGATCCTGGCGCTTCTGGCAACTCATTTAAGGATGATATCAGTAAGAGTCCAATGCGACCTGGACGACATATTAATCCAGTCATTGTCCACCCGGTCCGCCTTGTCGGACCTCAAACTGGTGATAAAACTGCTCCAGGACCACGGGTTCTCGGTAAACTTTCCCAAGAGCCACTTGGTTCCCACAACAAGACTATTACACCTCGGGGCCATCATAGACACAGTGGAGTGCCGGGTGTACCTTTCACAAGAACGCCGGAACAGCATAAGGGAGTCAGTTCTTCAATTACGCAGGTGTTGGTCAGTAACATTGGCCAGTCTCTCCCAATTGTTAGGGAAGATAATCTCGGCCATAGCAATCGTTCCGTGGTCCAGGCTCCACTCCCGGGAACTACAATGGTTCATGCTTCCTTTCCAGAGGCAGAATTTCAGTGCATCCCAACAAAGGGTAAGACTTCCACAACAGGTGTTGTGTTCCCTCATGTGGTAACTATCATCAGCCATACTCAGAGGGTCATGCTTCAAGGAGCCGGACAGGATAGTACTCACGACCGATGCCAGCCTCTTCGGCTGGGGAGCACACCTTTGGTCTCAGTGGACA